GGGAGGCCAAGGCTAGATTCATACAAGTTCCTACTACTATATTCTTCATTCTTCTTCTTCTTTTAGCTTGGAGCTCCATTAATGACTCCAAGTTCCTACAATGATGTATATGTAAACTCCCCCGAGATTAATAAAAGTTCCTCCCCCTTTGGCATGGCACCGCCTAAAAAGGCCCGTGGTTTTCTCCCGATTTGGGTTTCCACGTATAAATACTTTCTCTCCGCTTTATTTATTTATTTAATTTCCGGATTTCGCTATTCGGTGCGGTGCCGACCCGGTACCGATTTCATCGGGTCGACGCCCCGAAAAGGCGGCTTCCATCACTGGCGCCATCCGTGGGACCGTCACAAAAAGATTTTGTGCTCCGAGTCCGTAATAGAGAAAAAAAGGTGGGTTGAGAAAGTAAAAAAAACAAAAAAAAATGAGGAGGGATACGAAGTGAGAATCAAGAAGAAGAAAAAAATAGAAAAGTCGGAGAAGGAGAAAAGAAACAGAAAAAGAGAGAGAGAGGGACGGTCCGCCAGATCCAAATCAATCCGGTCCACGAGCAGTGCCCTCCACAAGGACGACGAGCAGCGAGCCAGTGTGAAGAACAACGGGGATCTTTCTGGCGAGCAGCGAGCACGCGGTAGGGCTGCCGGCAGTACCCTCCACCAGGGTCGGTGAGTATCCTCCCAGACCGGTGAGCCCTCTAGTGTTCTTCATCCCTAGCGGTATCCAACGGCGAGCCATACCACTAGCAATTGTCTACTCCGGCGAGCCATACCACTAGCAATTGTCTACTCCGGCGAGCCTCATCAACAACAAACAGGCCTTCATCTTCGATGAGATCCGGCGAGCTCCGACTTCCTCCGCCGAACCACGGACAGAAGTGGCAGGCCCCTCTCCGCAGTCCTCTCTGGCAGTCCTCTTCACGATCCTTTCCGGAAGTCCCCTCTCTAGTGGTCCTCTCCGCGGCCCTCTCCGCGGTCCTCACTGGTGGTCCTCTCCGTGGTTCTTCCCTCGCTTCTCTTCGACGGTCCTTTCCGGTGGTCATCTCCGCGGCCCTCTCCGGCGATCCTCTCTGTGGTCCTCTCTGGCGGTCCTCTATGCGGTCCTTTCTGGTGGTCCTCCCCGCGGTCCTCTCCAATGGTCCTCTTCAGCAAGATAGGAACGGATCTTGAGCACTCCAGCTTTAAAGATCCCAAAAATGGAAGTATCTAGCCTTAAATGGACCATTCCAACTTCAAGGATCCATCCAATGGAAAGATTTGGCCTCTTGTGGACCGCTCCATCTTCATAGGTCCTTCACATGGACGGATTTCGTCTCAAGTGGACTGCTTCACCTTCAGAGGTCCCTCAAATGGATGGATTTTGCCTCAAGAGGACCGCTCCATCCTCATAGGTCCTTCACATGGACGGATTCTGCCTCAAGTGGACCGCTCCATCCTCATAGGTCTTTCACATGGACAGATTTGGCTTCCAGTGGACCGCTCCATCTTCATATGTCTTTCACATGGATAGATTTAGCTTCATGTGGACCGCTCCATCCTCATGTGTCCTTCCCATGGACAGATTTGGCCTCCAATGGACCACTCCATCTTCATGGCTCCTTCACATGGACGGATTTGGCTTCTAGTGGACCGCTCCATCTTCATAGGTCCTTCACATGGACAGATTTGGCCTCCAGTGGACTGCTCCATCTTCATATGTCCTTCACATGGACGGATTTCTTCTCAAGTGGACTGCTTCACCTTCAGAGGTCCCTCAAATGGATGGATTTTGCCTCAAGTGGACCGCTCCATCCTCATAGGTCCTTCACATGGACGGATTCTGCCTCAAGTGGACCGCTCCATCCCCATAGGTCTTTCACATGGACAGATTTGGCTTCCAGTGGACCTCTCCATCTTCATGTCTTTCACATGAACAGATTTAGCTTCATGTGGACTGCTCCATCCTCATATGTCCTTCCCATGGACAGATTTGGCCTCCAATGGACCACTCCATCTTCATGGCTCCTTCACATGGACGGATTTGGCTTCTAGTGGACCGCTCCTCCATCTTCATAGGTCCTTCACATGGACAGATTCGGCCTCCAGTGGACCGATCCATCTTCATAGGTCCTTCACATGGACGGATTTGGCCTCCAGTGGACCGCTCCATCTTTATGAGCCCCTCAGATGGACAGATTTGACCTCCAGTGGACCGCTTCAACTTCATGGGTCCCTCAATTGGACGGATTAAGCCTCTAGTTGTCCGTTCCAAATTGTATAAGTTGATAAAAGTAACAATGTAAAAGAATAGAAAGTAGAGATCAGTAATTAGATCAAGTGATCGGATTACCGGAGATAGTCATAGACTCCCGTACCGAGGTTGAGGAAAGATAGGATAAGGAAAAGGATTGGGGCTTAAGGATGGGCTGAAGCCCAGCCCATTAAGAACAAGCTACCCAAAAGGAAGGAATCCTATAAAGAGATTAGAGTAGGCCCCCCTCAGTTCGAGGGACAGGGACGAAGAGAAAGGTGGACGGAGATTGTCTATAATTCAATAAGAGCGGAGCGCCCAACCACCGTCAGATAGATATCGGGTGGGGGTTTAGAGGCTCCCAAAGAATATTGAAAAAAGAGCCCCGAGAAAAGCCCTCTTCCCAGAGGCAACGAATCCCCGAGAGAAGTCCTCTCCCAAGAGGTACCGAGCTCCGAGAAAAGTTCTCTTCCACGAGGCACCAAGT